TGCAGAAAAACAAACAAACAAAAAATCAACAACTCAGTAACCCCCTTTATATGATTATCAGATGATTGATATCAAGATTTATGGCTGAGATTTAGTCACAAATTAAGACAATTAGTCTTTTTCATATCCTTGTATCTGACAAAGATTAATTTCCCTACAAATGCCACTGATGTGTGTTGACTCTGACAATTTAAAGACCACCTGAGCCCATGCTCGTACATGCTGTCCTCAGACCTCAGTGAGAGTCTGTCTTTGATGCATTAAACTAAATGCACAGCAGTTCTTACTGCAGCTGGTATCTTATTGGATATGGTTGTGGGTTACTGTAGTTGTAAATGTTGTAAACACCAAGGTAAATGTATGTTATGTTTTATTTAGAGCACTGGTGGACAAAGTTATATAGGCTGCAATCAATTTATCAGTGTTTCATTTGAACTTTTAAATCAATGTTATTTATGAACTTTACTCACGGTGTCGCTATTCACCAGCCTTAGAATGGTTTATATCCTCTGTCCTTTGTGGACAGACGTTCTTGTACGCCCATTGCGTGGTCTAGATAAGTGAAACACATTCGCGCTGAGCTGCAGTTACTATTCGTGTTATGTGGTTGAAGTGTGTTTGTTGCTTCGATCCTGAGACATATTAGGAATTCATCCGTGATTATGGATTGTAATATGATCGCTTGCGGTTTCTCTTTCCTCCTGCTTTTTCTGCATGGCGCATATGCAGATCTGAGCTATTCGTTTCCGGAGGAGATGAAACGAGGATCAGTTATTGGAAATATGGCCAAGGATCTCGGGCTGCAGACGAGCGCACTGTCTAACAGAAGAGCCCGTATCGACACCGATGAAACTGATAAACGTTACTGTGACATAAACCTGAATAACGGAGAGTTGATTGTTGCCGACAGGATTGATCGAGAGGGGCTCTGTGGAGAAAAGGCTTCGTGCATCCTAAAACACGAGCTGGTGCTGGAGAATCCTCTCGAGCTCCATCGGATCAGTCTGCACGTTCAAGATATTAATGATAACTCGCCTCAGTTTAAGGAAGAATTGATAAATATAGAAATCCGAGAGTCGGCAGTCAGGGGAGCTCGTTTTGTGATCGAGGAGGCACACGATGCGGATGTAGGACAGAATTCAGTTCAGCAGTACAGCCTTAAGAAGAATGATAATTTCATTTTGGCTGCTGATGGAAACACAATAGAGCTTGTTCTGGATAAAGAGCTCGATCGAGAAAAACAGCAAGAGCTCAATTTGCTTCTTACAGCTCTAGATGGTGGCTCTCCTCAGAGATCAGGTACTGTAGTCATACACGTCACTGTGCTGGATGCTAATGATAACGCCCCAGTGTTCAGCCAGGCCGTTTATAAAGCCAGTCTGCCTGAAAATTCTCCTGTAGATACTATAGTGGTCACAGTGAGCGCTACTGATGCAGACGAGGGAGTCAATGGAGACGTGACTTATGAATTCGGACATGTTACAGAAGATGTGAAGAAGATATTTAGTATTGACCGTAAGGTGGGGGATATACGTGTTATTGGCTCTGTTGACTATGAAGCCACCACTTCATTTGAAATACGTCTTAAAGCAAAAGATGGATTAGGGCTGTCATCTTATGCTAAAGCAATAATTTCTGTCACTGATGTGAATGACAACGCTCCTGTAGTAGATTTGAAATCACTGACTAACCCCATACCTGAGGACATCCCACCTGGTACAGAGGTGGGCATCATTAACGTGCAGGATAGAGACTCTGAGAATAACAGACAGGTCCGCTGCTCCATTCAGCAAAACGTCCCTTTTAAGTTGGTTCCTTCTATTAAAAACTATTATTCTCTGGTGACCACAGGACAACTGGACCGTGAAGTAGTGTCTGATTACAACATTACAATCACTGCCAGTGACGAGGGCTCTCCACCTCTGTCCTCCTCTAAAAGTGTTGAGTTATCTGTAGCAGACATCAACGACAACCCACCTGTGTTTGAGGAACAGTCGTACAGCGCATATGTGAGTGAAAATAACAAACCTGGCTCCACTTTATGTTCCGTTAGTGCTCGAGACCCCGACTGGAGACAAAACGGTACAGTGATTTATTCTCTGTTACCCGGTGAGGTGAACGGTGCCCCGGTGTCGTCCTATGTGTCTGTTAACGGAGACACGGGGGTGATCCACGCTGTGAGGTCGTTTGATTATGAACAGTTCAGGAGTTTTAAAGTCCACGTGATGGGCAGAGACAACGGTTCTCCTCCGCTGAGCAGCAACGTGACCGTCAGTGTGTTCATATCGGATGTGAATGACAACTCTCCTCAGATACTGTACCCCGGGCCGGAGGGCAACTCCTTCATGACCGAGCTGGTCCCCAAAGCTGCACACGGAGGCTCTCTGGTGTCCAAAGTGATAGCGGTGGACGCGGACTCCGGACAGAACGCCTGGCTGTCCTATGATATAGTGAAATCCACAGATCCGGGCCTTTTCACTATTGGTGTCCACAGCGGAGAGATCAGGACACAGCGGGACATTTCCGAGTCTGACAGCATGAAACAGAACCTGATTGTGTCAGTGAAAGATAACGGACAGCCCTCTCTGTCTGCCACCTGTTCCATGTATTTACTGATTTCTGATAACTTGGCTGAGGTGCCAGAACTGAAGGACATTTCTTATGATGAGAAGAATTCCAAACTGACGTCTTATCTGATCATCGCGCTGGTGTCTGTGTCGACGTTTTTCCTGACCTTCATCATCATCATCCTGGGTGTGAGGTTTTGTCGCAGGAGAAAGCCCAGACTGTTGTTTGATGGAGCAGTTGCCATCCCCAGCGCTTATCTCCCTCCTAATTACGCAGATGTTGACGGCACAGGAACTTTACGCAGCACTTACAATTATGACGCCTACCTGACAACAGGTTCAAGAACCAGTGACTTTAAGTTCGTGTCATCTTACAATGACAACACACTGCCTGCTGACCAGACTCTGAGGAAAAGTCCATCAGACTTTGCTGATGCCTTTGGAGATAGTGATGGCTCTCCTGAGGTAGGAACTGGTGTCACATGTCGTTTGAACTATTTTGCCTCAAATATTCAGGCACTTTTAAACGCTTTTACACACGTATGCTATTAGTTAATTCGTTGTTAAGGATTTTACACAATTTTCGTTGTCTTTGTCATATACAGTGACATTTGAAAGTTATTTCAAGCCTCCACGCGTTAGTTTTTATTTCACGTATATTATCTAAACGTCCTCTTACTTTGAGCGTGGCAGTGGGTGTTTGAGCGTGTCAGATATAACAAGTGGTTGTCTTTTTAGTTCCAGATTTAGTAATCTTTATGTAGAGTTTGAAGGAAATGTTTTTTTCGCGATTTTTTGTGAACAATTTATTCGACTTCCAGTTGAAACACCAGGCATTCTCTATCTGTCTTTCCTTCTACATCTTATCCCCTCCTTTAACGCCCGGATCTTGGTGTTCAAATGTGTAATGGCTCTCCTAACACACAGTTTTTACATCATTCTTCAACTGCAGTTTGCCTACTTACTCATTTTTTGACCAGTCTTCACTTATGTCCAATCAGAGGCTGTGATGAATTAAATGTCTCTTAGTATTTATCAGTTTTCCCAGCTGTTGTGTGTTGGCGTATGTGTCTTGAGTAGACCTGGTATCTAGTTCCTCATGTCTCTGTCCTTGGTGCTGAACCTCGCTGTTGCTCTGTTGTAGTGTTTTCAGTAACAACTTACATCGGTCTGTTTTTACCATTTCAAAAATATGAATCTACTGAGTTATGAGATTGTAATGTCTCATATATCTAGGCTGTTTGCCACTTTTTAATGCGCACTGGTCCTCTTCATGGTATAAGAAGGAAAAAGTAAAATCAATCACATCAAGTGAAATGAGAAATATTTAATTACTCAGTTAAACTACATGTATTTAGTTTCTTACCAATCATCTACGAATAATGTCCATTTTACAGTTCTCTGCATCAATAAATTTAAGTCAGTAAACAATGTTGTTCAGTGCTATTGCTAAAAGTGGTATCGTTTTTATTGAAAGAAAGTAAAGTAATTTTCGTAAGCAGTGGATGGGTGCAGAAATGATTTTCCTTTGACAACTGCTTCACATGTTTTGTCACCTTTCATATGGTTATCTTATTATTATTACTACTACTACTACTACTACTACTACTACGAATAATTAACTGTGATTAAGTTATTTGGTCTCCATGTGTAAACAGATTCACTTACTGCCATACAGTTGCAAGGAACCCTTCAAAAACATTGCACACGAAACTTTTTTTTTCTTTTGGCAGAGTTGCCTGACTATATTCTTGAATTGGTAAACAGATAAACAGTCATTGCTATCAGTATAGAAGGTAAAGCTGTTAAATGTCTTGTCTCAGTCCAGCTGACCATGAGTCGAATACCAACATTTGTTAAAAACTCTTTGTTGCGTGTATCTAGAATCTTTACGACAGACGGACGGACTTTTCTGGGATCTTGTCTGGCAACCGCAGAATAGCAGCTTTAAAACGAGGGTCACAGGTGATGGAGTTTGTTTAATTTAGTAAAGTGACTATTATCATATACAGCATTTACCGGAGAACGACACTGAACTTGTCTGCGGTCAGCCATTGTTTAACATAAAGTTAAAGGCAATGTTGTGTTACTATTATCACTATGAAATGGTTGAAGTGCTTCAGTTTAGGAGAAGTTTACCTCTTGTTTGTAAATTCTAATAACACAAACAACAGTCAGCATGGCACTTTACTCAAAGAGAAGAAAAGAATAAAAGAAAACACACACATAATACTCCGTTATTACACAGTGTGATACATCATTAACATACGTTTTTATATGAACTATATAGGTGAAACGAATGGATGGTAAATTTCAGAATAGATTGTTATATTTCATTTGCACTCACGGTGTCACTGTAGACCAGGGAAGGAGTAAAATGTTAAGCTTGCTTTTGCACACCACCCATTATTTGCATCGACCCCCTGTGTTTTCTACAGCCTTTCACACCGACGACAAACGCCTGGAAAGCACACATTGTTCGATTAACGTATTTTAATACTAGAAACTGGCTTGTTTTAAGCTGTGTAATACTGTCAGAGGATGATGGAGAGACGGATCGTACTTCACAGCTTCGGCTTTGTCTTTTTCTTTGTTGCGGTGCACTACGCACATGGAGACCTGAGCTATTCTGTACAGGAGGAGCTCAAGCGCGGATCTGTTATTGGAAATATCGCCAAGGATCTCGGCCTGGAGGTGGGCAGACTGTCTGCTCGGAAAGCTCGTGTTGACATGGAGGGAAACGACAGACAATATTGTGGGATTAACCTACGAAGCGGAGATTTAATCGTTGCTGAACGAATCGACAGAGAGGAGCATTGTGGAGAAAAGCCTTCGTGTGTTCTCAAATTCGACCTGCTGTTAGAGAATCCACTGGAATTACACCGGCTGTCCCTGCAGGTGCAGGACATAAACGACAATGCGCCAGTTTTCCAGAAGGAGACTGTAAAACTGGAAATCACAGAGTCAGCTACGAAAGGAGCTAGGTATCGCATCAATGCAGCACACGATGCTGATATAGGCAAGAACGCGGTTGAAAACTACATTTTGCAACAAAACCCTCATTTTGTGTTCAGTACTCAGACGACCAATGCTGGTAGTAAATACGGTGAGTTGGTTTTAGATAAAGAGTTAGACCGAGAGGAGCAGCAGGAAATGAAATTATTGCTCACAGCTGTGGATGGTGGCTCTCCTCAGAGATCAGGGACTGTAGTCATACACGTCATTGTGCTGGATGCTAATGATAACGCTCCAGTTTTTACTGAGGCCGTATATACAGCCACGGTACCGGAAAACTTACCGATGAAAACCCCAGTTATCACTGTGAGTGCATCAGACGCAGACGAAGGTGTAAACGGAGAGGTTACATATGAATTTAGCCGATTGTCTGATAAATCACGAAAGCTTTTTTCACTAGATGAGAAAACTGGAGAAATCAGTGTGACGGGTGACATAGATTATGAGGAGGGATCGAAATATGAAGTAATGGTTGAGGCCAAAGATGGTTATGGTCTCTCTTCTGAAGCCAAAGTCATTATTGATATCACTGATGTGAATGACAATGCCCCGTTGATTTATCTTAAATCACTGACTAACCCCATACCTGAGAATGTGTCACCTGGTACAGAGGTGGGCATCATTAACGTGCAGGATAGAGACTCTGAGAATAACAGACAGGTCCGCTGCTCCATTCAGCAAAACGCCCCTTTTAAATTGGTTCCTTCTATCAAAAACTATTATTCTCTGGTGACCACAGGACAACTGGACCGTGAAGTAGTGTCTGATTACAACATTACAATCACTGCCAGTGACGAGGGCTCTCCACCTCTGTCCTCCTCTAAAACTGTTGAGTTATCTGTAGCAGACATCAACGACAACCCACCTGTGTTTGAGGAACAGTCGTACAGCGCATATGTGAGTGAAAATAACAAACCTGGCTCCACTTTATGTTCCGTTAGTGCTCGAGACCCCGACTGGAGACAAAACGGTACAGTGATTTATTCTCTGTTACCCGGTGAGGTGAACGGTGCCCCGGTGTCGTCCTATGTGTCTGTTAACGGAGACACGGGGGTGATCCACGCTGTGAGGTCGTTTGATTATGAACAGTTGAGGAG